GGGCATTATTATTAACATAGCTTTCTCATGAAATGCTCTTTTGGTATTTGTTTGTATTTTGGAGATAATATTATGCTATCTTAAAGGCATATCAAATGTTAGATATACTTACCAATCTCAGCATGAAGTTCAGCACTTGGACGACGAGGACTCTCAAACTCAATGTCATTGAACACACGCATACGGTATGTTGTGCACATAATGTCAGAACGTTGAAAATGAAACGCTTTGCATCTTTGATTCAGGCTACACATTCCGGAACACAATATAAGCGAATCCACTCTCTTTTCACTCAGTACCCTTACTTGACCACCTATGTCATCCACAAAAACAAGTTTTATATATTTTCTTTCCTGTATGCCTGCATAGAGCGCAGACTCGCTGGGGCCAGGTTTAACCATCAATATCGAACATAAGATTGCACTTGTCAGTAGAGTTTGCATGGTGTTTGTGCTACACTGACTCTGGCAGAAAACGTGTCAAAATGCTTCTGGTATGAAACGGAAACACTGTACCTACACTAATAAGAATGTACGCACACGTCTTGTTTGAGAATAATCCTTTTCAGTTGTATCACAGCTTGCCATTGGCTGAAAGCTTAAAGTTAAGCAGGCTGTTATTGATTACCCCTATGCTGAAACCACCTACTGCTAAAACCGTAAGAATAATCACGAGCAGACAATTGAACCTACGGGTCTGCATAACCAAGAGCAGGGTTTGAAGGTTGCTCATTGCCCGTTGGCATTGACGAATACAGACGTTACACATAAACTAAACCTCCCCTGCATCACGCTACAAACTGTCGAGTGGAACTTGTTTCCCAAACTGAATGCGGAAGGTCTACTGTCCTAAAACGTTGTAATCCCTCAGATATTAGACCTGGCTGTAAATCATGGTCTGCTTGTCTGCCTTGTTCCCTCCGAAGATGGTACCTGAATATTTTGAAGAAGTCCGAATCCGATTATATTAAGGCCGAAACACAAATTCAAAATATCTAAAATAGTTACCTTGAAATGACTCTTCACCAAATGAATTTGAGTAGGTTGGAAAGCGAGTTTGGTTTAACACAGCTTTTAACAATATCCCAGATATACGACTGCGTGTCAGCTTAATGTGGGGGGTCTTGAATGGTTACCACTTGTGAATACTACGAGCACGGGTTCAGAGCTGACAAGCTGACAAACATAATTGAAATGAACCAACAAGCATAGATTTCCTCTGGGCATGCATTTAAGCTAATGGAATACAGTGTGTGCAGAAAGATGATGAATTTAACTCACATTTTATTTTAAATATTTTATATTTAACCTTGTTTTGGCCATGTTATTAAGCTATTCAACCTTTTCTTAAGAATCAGACTGGATTCCTATTCACGAGATGGCATTATCACAAGTGTTCTATTGCTCTTATTTGGACAGTGTTTTTAGCACTCTTCGAGTCGTGTAGATGCAGGTACATACATGTATTTCAGAATACACCAAGGCTGGCCTGTGGTTGTACCTAGGCCAGTAGACAGCACGAAAGGTTTGCCCAAATCTGGGGGTAGAGCGGCCGCTCGTAGAGCGGAAGGTTCGGGGTTCGATCCCCGGCCGCGTCATACCAAAAGACGTTAAAGGATGGTACTTGTTGTTACCCTGTCTGGTGCTCGGCATTAATGGGCTAAAACAAGGACTGGTCGGCTCGGAGTCAGTATACTGTGTCTGAGTGGAATATTCATGTTAAACTGCGGCATGGTATCTCAGTGTGCTAGCACTATAAATCGGCATCAGTCCAGACTAGTACAAAGAGCGACACAAACACACACACGTACATGCAAGTGGCTATATAAGTGCAATAATCTTGGACGCGACGTTAAACCCGATTTCACCTCACCTTATACAACATGAATATAGGTTTTTTTCTTGGTAACCGTGAACTAGCACGGGAGGCGGAATTAGACTTAATTTACAAATAGGGATTAAATGATTGTACTTCTTACATTGATTCAACGGTAGCAATAAAAGCTGTCAAACGTAAGGCCTGGTTATTTACGCCATACTTATTACTTATCTATCGATATATTACCCTTCCTAGAATAGTTAAATATTTCATCCAGCTTCTTCTGGGAAGCCATTTTCTTCTGCCTTGGCTATTGCGGTTGCCTAACGAGGTGTTATTTTATAGTTTACAAAATGTAATTGCATGAAAATTCAGTTGATCACTGTGACATTTTTGGCTTTTATCTGCGAACGTGGTGTACAAGTGTACTATTCAGAACAAGAGAGAATACGTGCCTGTGTCCTTGTTGAAGGTTGTGGTAAAAATACTCACCGCCAAAAGAAACGAGAACCACAGAAACTCATAAGAGAAGTATATACGTTAAAAATAAAATGTTTCTGATGTGTACCACTTAATGACAGAACTAACAATGATTCCACAGCTACCACAGTGTCTTTATTCTTATTACGATATGCTGCACGTGATGTCGAAACTGTACACGCTAATCCTGCACGAGGTAAATGGTGCATCTCTAGTTATGGATCTATGACGTCACTTGTCATATTCATGAGCGTCGGTTCAACGGAGAGTAGGATCAAAACAAAGTTCATTGGACCTGGCAATCAAGACCAGAAGTGCGAATAACTGCAACAGTCAGACTGCAACGAACCAGAACAAAAGACGGCTGTTTCCAATGACATTGTCAGCTACTGTCAGATTCAAACATTAATTCCCTTAAAATGTGAAGACATAGTTGGAAAAATGTGGGTTAGACATGAAACCCGAAGACATGAAAATTGTGGAACATAGGCGAGCGGGGGGAAAAACAACAGCAGACGAGCGAGCCTGCACGTTGGCTGTTTCATTCCTTCTCGGCTTTCCGTCTCAAAGGTAGTTTTGACAATGAATATGCATTAATTATTTCGCTAAATGTCCTCTGAATGCAGTAATACGTTACCAATTCAGCTAATCAGAATGCAGGAAGTACAAATAACACAACGAAACTTATAATCTCTTGAGCAATTTTTCATATATAACCAACGTGTATGGTATTCACATTTTCCTTTTCCTTGAGTCACCTCGGTTCGATACACATTATTACGATGTAAAGTGTATCTAAGTGCTGAACGATCTACACTGCGGTAAGAAATAATTACTGTAAGAAGCAGACTCTTTGCAGAATAATTATATCGTTTTTATTAGCTTCAACAAAAACAGTAAATACGCTATCTTGTCACTTGATTTTCTGGTTCATCGATTATTTTATTGTTTTGTTTGTTTACAGGACGCTGTCGCATCGAAAGATTATCCTTTCTGCTAACAACCGATGTTGTTACTAATTTTCAGTGGCCCCTTTATATCATTTTCACGAATAATTTGCCCTGTAGGCCAAATGGAATCTGTTTGGGCAAAATCTAGACTTTTTTCTCATGCATTGAGACAATTTTTATTATAGACTTCAGTGTGAAGTTGAGAAAAGTGATTTTGGTTACTTGACCAGCATGTATTCTCTCGCTTCCAACAGCGGTCTCCTAGATTTCAAGAATATTTGGTTGATTTTGTATATAATCATACCGAAATGTATGAAAACGAATTTTCGTGAACCTAAATAATTTCTAAAGATTTTGCAAACATGAAACTACATTTTTAGTCACAAATACAAGGGGTGATGAATTGTCCCTGTGCGTTACGTAGGGATAATTTACGTTTCATGGTTTTACATTTGTAATGAAATGATTAAATTTTCAGGGAGAGAACTATACAAAAATTATATGATAAATAGGATATGTCTTGTGTGTCGTGAAATATGACGGGGCAAAAGGAGATTTGTTCTCAGTCAGGGCAATTAAATTTAGATACAGATGCTGCTGGTCATGATCTCAAAAGATTTCGAAAATTGATGTCGCAAATTCATTTTTTGCACAGTTTTGTCTATTGCTCCGTGCTTTTCAACTAAGTGAATACTGCATGAAATGAGAAACAATTTTCTCAGAAACTACTAAACTTACTTCAGTGAAAATTGGTATGCCTATCCACGAGATTCTTGTCGAAACTGAGTTCGAAACTTGGGCCTGTGAATTATTTTTATACAGAGTTACGGCCCTTGCTACAACTTATGTTACTTAGTGCATAGAGAAATGGGGATACATTTTCTCAAAACGACTGTTGCACTCGTGAAGAGCAACCTCCTCGTGGTGACTGCTGGGTAGCGCTAATAGCTCTTCCCCCGTGTGGTTTCGGGGTAGAGTTTGTCCACAGCACCCCATTGCTGGTCGTAAAAGGCGACCAAAGTGGGCAGCCCGTTTGCCGTGGGTTGCGTCCCTGTGTCGTCGGAGGACGGGAGTCTGGTTGTTGAGGGCACTGGTTCCTGGAACTGTGTTCCTTTGCCCAACACACTACTTCGACACTTACTTCGCCTAGACGGGTGGTAAGAGGGCCCGGTTTTATCAATCGGCTGGTCATGCCAGGCCCTGTGCGTAATATTGTATATGCACACCTGTGTTGTATTGTCATGTATATTTTGGTCTTGGCCATGCAGAACTTGTATGAGTTCTCAATTTTTGATTGAATAAATTGCCTAGAGTCTTACGCCAGAAGGCGGTGGCTCATGGGCCAATATGGTGATGTTGACCTCTGTATTCTGTATGTCTCCAGTTTCTTGTCATGGAATGAACCTGCCTGGCACTACATCTGGTAGATAAATATAGCTATTCAAGTCATATTTGCTGGTGTATATCATCCCTGTATCCCTGGTGTTTGCATGTTGGAGATCCGGTGCAAAAAACATCGCCCTTGTAGCACTCCATGGTGGATGGGGAGCAGGGGTGCTGAATTACTATATTTCACCATGTCTCACCAATACCCCGGTTCAACCCGTTCAAAACGTAGACATGTCGAGACAGCAATCTCTGAATCTTTTGTCTTTCACCGCATTCCCAAGTATTGAGGTTGCTGTGTCCGTTCACAAAACCTTAAATTCTTGCCGAGGCATTGTTCGAGACAGAGCTCGTTGCCTGTCCGACATGTCAGAGCAAGAGATTACTGATGAACTGACAACTGAAGGTGTAACAGCAGTTAAGCGTTTTACTATGAAATCGAGAGATGGTGACATCATCACGTCAAACACTCATCTGCTTACCTTTGCCCTTTCGGCCCTTCCTAAGTCAATTGAAGCTGGTTATCTCAACATCGGAGTGGAGGTGTATGTCCCCAATACACTCCGATGTTTCACTTGCCAAAAGTTTGGACATGGGTCTAAATCCTGTAATCACTCTGTGTTCTGTCAGCGCTGTGGCGGCGGCCATGACAACACCAACTGCACAGCTGAAGTGAAATGTGCAAACTGCAAAGGAACACATCTGGCTTCATCAAAGTTATGTCCCGAATGGCAAAAAACTAAAAAAAATCTTGAAGCTCAAACACGAGAACAATATCTCGTTTTACGAGGCTAAGAAGCTTATTGAAAATCAGTCTCCACAAACTCCACTAACCAGAACATATTCTGCTGCTGTATCTACCGCTGCTCCTCCTACAAAAACTACAATTTCTCCCCAGACATATTTGACTTGGATTACATCCAATCAACCTGTTAACATATCTTCTGTAGTAACTTCAAATACATCTTCTACTCAAACAATAAGCTCATCTGAACCTTTGACTGCTGAGGCTGATGTAGAGATTGTTACTAAACAGCCAGAGACTGTAGAACCAGCTACTATTGAATCTGCTGTTGTTACTCTGACAAGAAAAGAAAGACAAAAATTAAACAGAAAACAACGTACGATGAAATCCTCGTCTTCAGAGGTTTTGCTCCACAAGTCCTTTGATGCTCTGGACATGGACGTCACCCCATCGTCCCAGAGCAATAGTATGAGTCCATCTTCCTCACGTGCTCGTGAGAGATCCCCCATAGAACCACAATGACTCAATCTCCTAACATAATTCAGTGGAATTGCAGAGGACTTAGGGATAATTTTAATGAAGTCCAATTATTAGCACAAGACTATAAACCATCAGCTTTTAGTTTACAAGAGACCTATCTTAAGCATACTGATAAATTTGAATTGCGTCAGTACAATTCTTATCATTCTTTTTCACCTCCACGTGATAAAGCCACTGGCGGTGCTTCAATTTTGGTGAGGCAGGGCATCATCCACAGTCCTGTTCATCTCCACTGTAACCTTCAGGCTGTTGCTGTCCGTCTTACTCTACAAATAACTTTCACACTTTGTTCCCTATATATTTCTCCATCCTCAAATTTGCAGCAGTCTGACCTTCAGGACTTATTTGACCAACCCCCTAAGCCCTGTATCATCATGGGTGATTTTAATGGGCATAACCCTCTATGGGGAAGTTCCAATACAAATAATAAAGGGAAAATCCTTGAAGATTTTATTGCTAACAATACTCTATGCATCTTCAACGACGGCTCGAACACATATTTACATCCTGCAACAGGGACGTACACTGCATTAGATCTGTCAATCACGGATTCTAACTTATATAATGAATTTGAATGGTCGGTCCATGATGACCTTTGTGGAAGTGATCATTTTCCGACAGTGCTTACGGCTATAAACCCCACTGATGATCCACCTCTAACAAGATGGAATTTTTCTAAGGCAAATTGGCCGTTATTTCAGAACATATGTACTGACAAATTGCAACACGAACTTTTTATGGATGTTCCTGACCCGATTCAGTTGTTTTACGATCAACTGAAAGGTATAGCTGATGAAACTATTCCTAAGTCCTCTGTGAACCCACATATTCGTAAACCATGGTTTACTTATGACTGCAAACATGCTAGGAAGCGTAGAAAGAAGGCTGAGAAATACTTTCGACGCCATCCTACTGTTCATAATTAGAATAATGTAAAAATTAATTATGCCAAGGCTCGACGAACTTTTAAACTCAGTATACGACAGACCTGGAAGGATTATGTTTCCAAAATAACTTCTCGCACGCCTATGTCAAAGGTGTGGAACATGATCCAAAAGATTAAAGGCAAAGGTTCCAAATCAAGTATTCATCATCTCAAAGATGACAATAATTTATTGACAGAAAAATCAGATATTGCAAACAAACTGGGCGAAACTTTAGCCAATCATTCTTCTTCGTCAAATCCAAAGTTTCAGAAGTATCAACCACAACAAGAAAGGAAAAAAGTCATTTTATTTCTGACAATGGCGAAGATTATAACGAAGTATTTTCCGTACATGAGCTACACACTGCCTTAGCACAAGCTCATGATACTGCAACTGGTGCTGATGATATCCTTTATCAGCTTCTAAAACACTGGCCTGAATTTTGTCTTACAACACTAATGAATATTTTTGATGATATTTGGACAACAGGACATTTTCCTCCTTCGTGGAGACATGCCATCGTCGTACCCATACCAAAGCCTGGCAGGGATCATACAGATCCATCCAATTACCGACCTATTTCATTAACTAGCTGTGTCTGTAAAACCATGGAGCGCATGGTGAATAATCGCTGAGTTTGGTTTTTAGAAACCAACAATTTAATCAGTGATATCCAATGTGGTTTTCGTAAAAACCGAGGTACAATTGATCATTTGGTTCGTTTAAAATCATTCATTAAAAATGCTTTTATAAACAAACAACATGCTGTATGTACCTTTTTCGATCTTGAAAAAGATTACGATACCACTTGGAAGCATGGTATTTTAAAAGATTTAAATGACTTTGGTTTAAGAGGCCGCTTGCCTCAATTTGTATCACAGTTTTTAACAGACAGACAATTTCAAGTTCGTGTTGGATCAACCCTGTCTGATCATTATAATCAGAATCAGGGGGTTCCACAAGGCAGTATTTTGTCTGTTTCATTGTTTAGCATAAAAATAAATAGCTTATATAAAGAATTAAATGACTCAATTGATGGGTCATTGTTTGTGGATGATTTTAATATTTCATGTCGTGGTAAAAATATGCATACCATTGAAAGACAGTTACAGTTGTGTCTTAATAAAATTCAAAAATGGTGTCTTGAGAATGGATTTAAGTTTTCACAGACGAAGACAAATTGTATACATTTCTGTCGGAAATATAACACCCATAAAGACCCAGAGCTCTCTTTAGATAGTACTTCAATTAAGGTTGTCAAAGAGGCCAAATTTCTGGGATTGATTTTCGACCACCATTTGACGTTTTTGCCACATATTAAATATTTAAAGACTAAATGCCTGAAGGCCCTCGATTTGTTTAAAGTCGTCTCGAATGCTAAGTCGGAAGGGGATCAGACAACCCTCCTTCACTTATATAGATAATTAATCCGCTCTAAATTAGACTATGGCTCCATTGTGTATGCTGGAGCTTGAAAGAGTAATTTAAAAAGCTAGATTCAATCCACCATCAAGGACTTAGCCTGTGCCTTGGTGCTTTTAGAACTTCTCTTGTTGACAGTCTCTATGTCGAGGCTGATGAACCCTCTTTGAAACTATGCTATTAAATTATCTCTTCAATATATCACTAAATTGCACTCTAACCCTTCTAATCCTGCCTATGACGTTTTTCATCCCCAATATGAAGAACTGTTTCAGAGAAAACCAAAGCTGGTTCCCCCACTTGGAATTCGGATTAAATCAAATGTTATTGCTGCCAATATAGATTTAGATCTCATCTCTCCTTACCGCCTTTTGTCTTCTCCTCCCTGGCAGTTGGTGAGGCCAGAAGTAGACATTTCCCTCACACGTTTGATAAAATCTGAGACCAATCCACTCGTATATCAACAAGCGTATTTACAGTTAAGAAATAAATACAACACCCACCGTTCAATCTCTACTGATGGATCCAAGGCTGGTGGCAAAGTAGCATCTGCCACCGTCATTGGATCAACACATTTATCCTCCAGAATATCCAGATAATAGCTCTATATTCACTGCTGAGGCCAATGCTATCCTTACAGCCTTGGGATACATTCAAAAACAGTCTGCCTATAAACGATTTATAATATTTTCTGATTCTTTATCTTGTCTTCAGGCACTAAAAAAGTCTCTTCTAGTCATCCAATCATTTTAAACATTTTAGAACTTCATAATGATCTTTCAACTGGCCAATACGAATGGCAACACAATGGCTGATGCTGCAACTAAAGCAGCACTCAACAAATCTGTGACACCACGTCTTCTACCCTACAGTGATTAGAAAACCTATCATTCGATGTTACATCAAAGATCTGATGCAAAAGAAGTGGGACACTCAAGTGGGTATAAATAAATTACATGCAATAAAAGCAAATATCGGTTATACCTATTTGGGTTGTCAGTCCAGATTTGATGAGGTCATTATGCGACGATGTCGTATTGGCCATTCACGTTTTACACATGAATATTTATTGAAAGGCGAAGATCCTCCATTCTGTGTCCCTTATGATGAAGGAATCACCGTTAAGCATGTTCTGCTTGACTGTATCGATTTTTCCATCACTAGGGTTATTTATTTTCAGGTTTCATCCATCAAGGATCTTTTCAATCAGGTTAGTACTCATTTAATTCTATTTAAAAGAAATTGAACTCATTGATCAATTTTGAATTGAGTAAATAGCTATACTTTATATTGGTAATGTATAATTTGTAACTAAGATTGTTAGTGGCTATATCCTCAAAGGGGGTTGAAGTAGCGTAAAATTATTGTCCCCCTGAGAGGATATGTAAGACCCCATCATTCAAAGTACATTATTCTTGCCACAGTTTTAGACGTAGAATATTTGTTTATTTTAAGTGTTGGCTAAATTGCATATAATCACCAGCGGCTGAAGGGATGGTGTAAATCCTGCTGGGGAGTCGTGCAGGTAGCAAAAGTATTGTAAGTCCCCACGGTCCCCAGTAAGGTGGCCTAACTTTGATTGCTGGTGATCTATAACCCATTTTAATATTGTATTGTTGATTGAAAATGTTACTCTAGTTATTATTACTGTCCTTCGATGACAGATATTTATTCCATTCAAATATATGTATTTTATGTCAGTTCTCGTCACGATATGGCTAAAATACTGCCGATGTGACGTTAAATATTAACTCACTCACGCACTCAATGTCTGCAATAGTGAAAGAAAAATAAGATTTTCTTATGAGATTAAGCCACCCCAGTGTCTATTTCTACTTAAGGATAAATAGAACTCTTTTATTCACTATTGTATGACTAAACGCTATTTTCATGTTAATGATAAACTAACGCGGGAGGCTGATACAGACTTAATTTACAAACAGTGTGGAAACGATTGTATTAATTGCATCGATTCAACGGTAGCAATCAAACCTATTAAGCTAAATGTCTTGTTATTAACGTTATACATATTACTTATCTATCGATTTTTACTGTACCCAGAAAGAGTTACATGTTTTATCCAGTTTTAATGGGAAGTCATTTTCTTCTGTGGTTGCCTATCAAGGTGTCGTTTCATAGTTTATTCACTGTAATGGAAATTAAGGTTAAATTTACAGCTGTGTAATCTTTGGCCATTCATCTGTACACGAGTGCGCGAGTCTCAACAAGAAGGAAACGTTTTCTGTAGATTTGTAGAAGGTAATATCGGTAACTGCATGGTTCAAGACACATTGTTGTGACTTAAATGTATTAACGCGCTGAATGTACTAAACAGTGGTAAAATGTAATAACACTGAAGTAAAATATAACAGTGCGGTACATTGTACAGTGGAAAATTGTAATGGCCACCGTAAGCAGCAGAACAGTAAACTGTTGTTATAACCAACTCAAAGGGACCACTAATTTAAGTTAGTTATAACCGTAGTTCGTTATAAGCATATATACAGCATAACTACAGCAAATAGTTGGGACAAAAAAGTAAGTTCGTTATATCCGTCAGTTCGTTATAAGAACGTTCGTTATAAACGTAATTTACTGTATCTCTAATTACACAGAATAATATATATTATGTTG